TATATATATATATATATATATATATATATATATATATATATATATATATATATTTTAATCTGTATTTCTGTTGTAGTTTCTTAACAGTTATATGTACAGGGTTCTGCATATGATCAGGGATGGCAATTGGATTCTGTTGTCCTAAGTGAACAGGTATTTTTTTAAATAATTTTCCACTTATGACATTTCTTAAAAAGTGTACTTTAAGCTTAATTCAATTTTACCAAACTTCCTTATAAGATGAGGTTGATACCCACTTTATATATTACAATTTAGTTATATCCCTAGTTGATGTTAGATCTCCAATATACCTTTTCATGTTGATGATTGAACATTTAGTGTGGGAATAAATAGTTTTGGGTGGTGCAATAAGCCTAATAGTCCTTATTGGGATAAACTTACATATAATCGATCCTGTTTTATAGGAACAGATTCAACTACTGTTATTATTTGTGCCCAACCCAATGAACTATATCCGCATTTTGGAAGCCCAGGTGGAATTGTTAAACCTGTCCATCTTCTCAGTATTTACAATTTTGTTAGAGAAAAATGGGAGAATCTGTTGAGTGGTGCTGGAAGACACTTTTTTTCTTGAAATTTGGAAAATAATAATAATATTAAAATAACCTAAGATGAGAGGGGGAAAAAGTTGCATGTGAGGGCACATTGATGGGTGCTAGTGTTGGTGTTTGGACGGTTGGATAGGTTGGTGCAACACGATCTCAACCTTATGTGTGCCAAAGAAAATGATGGTAGCTGAAAACTGTCGGAAAACTCATTGGAGACGGTACTGGAAGAATAAAAGTTCAGTTTGGAGAAAGGTTGGATAAAGAAAAACCTTGAGGTTTACCGGCTGATACAATTTTGAAAAAGGTTCTTGATACTAGTTAGAAAGGAGACTTTAAGCTAGACCTAACAAAATCAATTTGTTAGGAGAGATTTGCGCCTATATATTTTAATTTGGTCACATCTTTAGATGATGTGTGATCTCTAACAGTATTCATCTTTCCACTTAGCCATGATGAAACTACACTTTTCTAATTCTGTAATTAGATTGATATGATGCATGGTACTTCAATTTGTGTCATGTATTGTGTTAGATTTGTATTCGTATGATAGCTTAGAATACTTTATTGATACTTATCAATAAAGTATCGAACGTATGAAGTAGTAATACTTTTATGATGATAATAATTTATAATTTTTTATTTTGACTATGTTTAATATATATGATTTTAATTTTGATTCACACAATGACAATCAGATATTTTTCATGTTTTTAAGAATTTTTGTACATTTTCCAATTTGTATATATCATGTATCATATCCTATTATTTTTAAAATAAGTGTATCGGCAAATTAGATCCTTGTTGTATCCTATACACTTATCACATTCGTGCATTATACGGCAGAAGTAAATTGTATTTACAAACATGTCATTATATTAATGTGAAGTCTTGCGAGTGCTTCCAATTTATTTGATGTTTATGTTTCTCTATTATGTCATCATTATATTATGATGTTCCACTATAGTGGTTTGGGGTTGTCGGGTCTACTCTGTCATGGTTATCTAATTCTCTGATGGCATATATTGTTCTTCCTTTGTGTAAGCAAATATGTTTTTATAATTTGGTGTGTTTGGTTGGAATGTTTAACAATAGCGAAGCTCTTATTCGATTAGGTGGGATTGGTTAGATAAATCAGCAGATGCCTATAGCCTTGACCATAGAGACTAAACTAAACTATTGATTGATTTTATTTGTTTTTTTTTTCTATTCAGTGCTCCCCCAATATCTTCTTTTTTACAATCATGCGTACCATGTCCTCTCTTGTGTTGGCATCGTCTGTTTGTCACATTCTCATTTCTATTTCCACTTCTTCTCTTTTTTTAAAGCCCAACATTCATCAAACGAGACCTATCATTAGCAGGGTATACATGTGATGACAGAAGAATATAGATGGGATGTGGGTACTGTTGTAACTCACTCACCAAATGGTTATTACTAATTCAGTTGTAATCTGTTGAATAGATTTTTAGAGTGGGAGGGTGTTTTTATAGGCTGCATTGGGAGGGTTTCTAGGCACTTTGGAATTGCTCCTAGTTTTTCACATTCTCTTTCTCTCGGATCCCACTGATCTGGAGGAGTCATCATAGAAAAATTGTCATTCTTTGTTCTCAATATCTAAATTTCTCCAAATTACCTGTTGGTTTTATCAATTCACAACCAATAGTTTAATGAAATGTATACTAGTATGGTAAAACTTTCCCATGGACTTGATGCGTACTTTGTGATCACAAATAATGATAATGCCTTTCCTCATCTGTTGGAAGTCCCACATCGACTAGAGATAAGGCCAATTCATAGTTTATTAGTGGGTGCAAATCTCACCCTACAAGCCGGTTTTGTGGGGTTGAGTTAGCCTTAAAGTCCACTTCTAACATGGTATCAGAGCCATGGTTAGAGCCTATCCTAGCGATATTTGTTGTTTGTTGGGCATATTGTTCCACTCGTTATCGGGCCGCTATCGGACCACCCATTAAAAATGTCTAATCCCACGCTCGAGATGTATATACCTTGACGTGAGGGGGTGTGTTGGAAGTCCCACATCGATTAGAGATAAGACCAATTCATAGTTTATAAGTGGGTGCAAACCTCACCCTACAAGCCGGTTTTGTGGGGTTGAGTTAGGCTTAAAGTCCACTTCTGACATTTACCATTTGTCCTTGTCTTTTGTGTAGCCTGTTTGCTAATTTCCTCCTCTTTGTAGTATTGATCCCAATTATTTAAACAGGGATTTGTGGTATGACATTTTCTTTAGTTTTTACTTCCTAGTCAAATTTCCTCATCCCTTCCTAAATTGCAATGAATATACTGTTTTATACTTCTACTTAAGTGAAAACTCTTTGTATGTAATTTGGTTGGAACATTATGCCTAGATTGTTGAGAATGTGTCAACAGTTCAGGAACTGCCCTAAGATTTCTTGAGGTTATGTTTGAGTTGAGGATTTCGAAATGGAAAATTTTGGATAGTTTTAAGTGGCTGTTTGGTTCAAAAAAATTTCTATTTTCATTTCTAATTGAAAAGCCTCGCTCTGTTTTTTTTTTTTTTTTTAAACTTTGTTTCCTTGTTTTTAGAAGTTTGAAAAGGAAACAGTGAAACCGGAAGGCCATAATCTTTTTTTTCACTGTTTTCTATATGAATATTTGATGATAGAATACAGCATTTTTGTAATTAAAGGGAAAATAAAATAGTGAAATCTGAAGGCATTTGTTTCGAGTCAATAATTTTTTTTATATAAATAATCTTTTTTTTCACTGTTTTCTATATAAATAATCTTTTTTTTTGATAATAGAATACAAAATAAAATGGCATTTTTGTAATTAAAAGGAAAACAAAATAGTGAAATCTGAAGGCATTTTTTTCAAGTCAAATAGCTCCTAAGTAAACCCTTTCTTTGTTTGGGGTGGGAGTTGAAATTACGGGAGGAAAATGGGGATTGTCTTGTAAACCTTCAATCACATGCATTTCGCTTCTGCCAAAAATTCCTCTTCAAATACACTTTTTTACTCTCTGTTGTCTTATAATTCTTTTCCATTCCAACTCCCAAATATAGCCTAGGTATGTGGAGAGACTTGGTAGCTTAGCTCCATTGATGTTTTTCTGCTGCTTTACTTTGTGTTTTCTTTTGATGATGGGGATCTATTATCCTTCGAATTCCTTGTACTTTCTGTCCATTATGATTAATTTTTTAACCCTTCTTATCCTCTGATATGAAGAACAAAGGATTAAAAGAAAAGTTAACATGAAACTGAAAATAATGTATTAAATATGGAAAGAATAGATAAGCATTCTATTTCATTATCGTCTTCCTGTTTGTAGTTTAAAACAGAAATTCATAGTCATCAATTTCGATGTTTAGTCTCTCCACACACAGGTAAATCTTTTGCTGAAAATTTAGAGCTTCCTTTTTCTCCATAATATATTATGGGATAGCACAGTAATTGTCAAAAGTTTGGAACTGTGATTTCATTGAGGTGAACTGAAATTTGGGGGATGATACTTCTGAAGTTTCACATTTGGTCTGTGAATGATTGGTGATGGAAGACGGATTGGAATTTAATGGTATTATGTTTCATCTTTTGGATTGGTAAGATGAGGATGGAATATAATTGAATCTGGTGAAACCTATCCCAATTTGGGAGGAGTGAGATGAAGCTAGCTAGAAGTCTCTCTTTGTACAATTATGAAGTTACAGTTCTATCTTTACCCTAATTATCAATGAATTGTTTCAGCCCAACATTTCTTCTTTGCTTTTTTTCCTCTATTTTTGACACTTCTCACCTTGCTTGCTCTCAACTATTTTAGTGTATTTCAATGACACATATGTGCCTGTTACCAATATTATTATATTTTTCAATTTTCAATGTGGGAAAAATTCAAATTATATTAAAAATTAAAATTTACCTAGGACCCTAATTTATATCTTGGATTACTTATTAAAATTATTTTCATTTTTTTATCTAAGTAATTGATATTTTTAAAGTAAAGATGATACGGAAATAAAAAGGTTATCACTAATTTCATCAAAAACGATCAAGAACAATGTTTTCCAACCAAGACTAGTCATTGAACAAGTAAAACATTGGTTCAAGGTTCAGCCATGGTCAAACTGGTATGGAAAAAATAAAACTAATAATTAAATAATGTGTAAAATAATATTAAAAGAAGATAATACCATACCTTTATAATTCTAACAACTAAAACATAACTGTATAGTTTTTAGCATTTAAAGTACATACAAAAGCTGAAATAAAATATCTTATGAGACTTAATTGTTAACATTAATTAACAATGTTAAGTATAGGTTTAGAATAAAATTATTGGATTGATTTTCCTTTTTCTTCTTAACAGAAAATCAAAATGTTGTATTAAGTTTTTTCCCATTATCTTGGGAATTGTGGTTTTTTTTACCAGATTTACTGATGTTTTAGGGCTTTCCGTTTCTTTGTATGGTTTTTCTCGGAGTCTATTTTTATGGTTTGTTTGAACTCGTCACTGGACTGGTTCACCAGTTTTTATGACAGTTGGTTCGGTCTAGTTTTAAAAAATTTGATCGAAAGCTTTATTTCCATTCCATTGTAAAATGTTTTCACAATGAAATCAATGTTATTTTCCATTAGGTTCTGTTTCACTCATTCCAATTTTACCCGATTTCTTTCATTTCATTTCCCTCTTACCAATTAAAATAAAATGGATAATTTCTACTAGGAAAAGTGGTTGCATCAATAATGTCTAGATAGGTATGGTGTTTTTACCGTGTAATGCTCAATTTTGCTTTGGTAGATATATTGGAAAACTTTACATTTGTTCTCAATGTTTTCTACAGTACTTATCCTGTGGTGTTTTAATGTATTCGTAATGCAGAGGGATCATTCTAAAAAGAGATTGGATAGTCATAACATTGAATCTAATGGAGTTAGTGGTAAGTTGCCTTATTATCTGTAGCACTTTTATTTGTTTTCCTTGGTCAATATTATATTCTTACCATGTTTGACGAAATCAACTGTCCTGTTTTGCAGGTTTGTATGGGCAGCATAGCGTGAAGAAGATGAAGACATCAAAGCAATCCCTTGATAATTTTGACAATGTTGCTCCAATAACTAATTCTATTCCCTCCCCTGCAGCTTCACAAATGAGTAACATGTCTAATCCAAGTAAATTTATTAGAATCATTAGTGGTGGACGAGATAGGGGCAGGAAAGCCAAAGCACTCAAGGTAAGTTTGTTCGGAACAAAGATGGTTGTGTGGTGGCAAAGTGTCTCCTGTCACTGTACTAATATATTTATTTTTCTTGTTTGTTTTACTGATTATAGGTTTCAGCGGGACAGTCTGGTTCTGGAACTCCATGGTCACTATTTGAAGACCAGGTTGTTTGTTGTTCATAGTTATCTCACTTAACTCTAATGTCCTTTTTCGTAATACATATTTCAACATCATGACATACATTAAGTGGGTATCTGTTCTTATCTGTTGCAGGCTCTTGTTGTCTTGGTGCATGATATGGGTCAAAACTGGGAGCTTGTTAGTGATGCTATCAACAGTACTATACAATTCAAGGTATTTTATTTGCTGATATAGTTAATCAGATAGGAAAGGTTCTATGATTGCAGGACATAAATAAATCTGCAATTGTCTTCTATTGTTGTGACATTCTATCACACAAGTTTTTATTTTAAAATATAATGCCTGTTTTTATTGTTATTCACCAAGATGCGAAAGCTCAGAGATTCAGTGTCTCTCATTTAATGCTGAGTTAGAATCGTGCTGTTAAAGAATGGTTATGGCCACCATGGTGGTAGGGTATGCCATCTTGGAGTGTCTCTTCCATTTTCCATGTCACTTTTAATAGCATCATCTGCAATTAATGTCAGCATGATATTCGTGTGGTGTCAATTGCATGTGTGCGGCAGCTATTACATAAGCTATAAGATTTATCAAGGAAAAATAAATTGTTTGGGTACCAAAGGCCCAATATTAACCGTAAGATCTAAGAAAAGAAGTTTGTGCCATGTTTAACAAAACCCTAATAGAGTCTTGTATTCTTGAGATACAAAACTATGACCCACTAACCTAACACTTGTGCCTCAACAACTGTGAGGAATTCTTTAGAGATAACCTCAGCAAAGCAACAATCATCTCCATTAAAATTGATTTTTCTTTTTCAAATTTTATTTTGCTTAATTAGTAATTTGGTCCCTATATTTAAGCCTTTGATTCATTTTACTCCATATATATATTTTGACTCAATTGAGTCTATTTTTTTAAAAGATGTGGTCTAACCTAACACTTGTGCCTCAACAACAGTGAGGAATTCTTCAGAGATAACGTCAGCAAATTAACAATCATCTCCATTAAAATTGATTTCTCTTTTTCAAGTTTGGTCCTTCTTTGATTCGTTTTAGTCCATATATATTTTTTGACTCAATTGAGTCTATTTTTTTTAAAAGATGCGGTCCCCTATTTTTTTAAAAAGACTCAATGTGGTTCGGTTAGGTTTCTTTGTGTCAAGAAACCTAGATACTATCTCAGAATAAATAATCACAACAGATTTATGAATCCTCATAGTGAGGAAACAATTTTATTGAATGGAAATACACAATCAACAGCAGTCAAGGGAAAACATTCCCTTACATAGGATGGATCCTGTTTCTGTAATAAAACACTCAACAACCACCAAAATATACAGCCCCTCCTTAAAAGACATAAATGAAACCATGACAAACAAAGGAAACCATCAACTACCAAAGAAAAACTACCCCTAACTGTTATGAAACTCCTCCTAACTCCCCCAACCACCTCTTACTAACTGCCATGTTTATTTATTTCTGATGTAAACCTATCAGGTTCGTTATGTTAAAATGGTGTTAACTCGTTTGCAAGGTGTTGTAACAAAATCTGGGTGACCTTTTACCTTGGATCTCCTTTGTTTTTTTTTCTCCCTCCATCTTCCTTCACCTCCTTCCACCTCTCTTCACTTCCCACCACCTTCCTCCACCTTTCTCAATCTCCCTCCACCTTTCTCCAGCTCCTTCCAGCTCCTTCCAGCTCCTTCCATCTCCCTCCACCTCTACTACCTTCCAAACGCAAGGTTGGCCAGCCTAAACCTAAATCAGAAAGGCCTCAAACAGATTGAATTCAACAAAAAGTCGCTAGATGCTGGGATGGAGGAAGGTCGTGGGAGGTGATGAGAAAAAAAGCCCTAGGGGTTATAAGGGAGATGATTTAGATTTTGACATATGACGCTTTCAAATGGCGTTAATGTCAATTTAATGGATTTAACGGAAGATACTACATTGAGTCATTCTAAAAATAATGAGGATTCAATTGAGTGACAAAAAATTATAGGGCCAAAATGAATTAAACGCTAAAATATAAGGACCAAATTACTAATGAAGCCTTCTATTTTCTTTTGGTTGTTCTCTACTTCTACTCATTTTTTCCCCTTTATTTAATCTGTTCTTTTCTTTGCTTTTCTTACGGATGAACATTAGTTGGTTTGGATCTAGTTCAGGGCATTTTTTTATTTATTTATTTGAGCCTGTCAATTTAGTTGGTTCTGCTCAGATTAATTTTCCCCCCTTATTTGTGTCTCCAATTCAAACCGGGCCAATCTGTCTATGGTTGGATTGTCTTCTCAAATTTATTTCTAAAATAAAAAAAAATGAAAATATATGTTAATTAAGAAATTGACTAAGTGTGATGTGTGAACTGAAAATTGAAAAATTTAAATAAATAGGGGCAGACTATGCTCTAAAGTCTAAAAGACTTAATTTAAAGGTTAATAATAAAAATATAAAGATATATTTTTAATTTGGTGGATTGCATTTGTTTGGGTTTTCCAAATCAAATTCCGAGATCCAAATCAAATTGACAGAATTACATTATTTCAATCCTATTCTAACCAATGTTCCAAACCCATCCGTGCTTGTTTCATTAGGTTCAGGCAGTCAATAGTAGGTCCAAACCCAATTGACGGAAGTTCATCACTTCATTCCTATTCTAACCAATGTTCCAAACCCATCTGAATTTTTTGGTTTGTTTTCATTGGGTTCTGGTAGTCAATAGTGCATGTAGTGGCCACTATTGCGATGGAGTGATGCTGCACTGTGAAGACTTCATGGCATCGTGTCTTGAAGCAGAGTGTGGGATGAGATAAGGAGCTGTTTAGGTTTTTGGATCTGAAATTTGGGTGAAAATCTGAAAAAGACCTCACTTTTAAATTCTAGTGAGGGTAGTTTTGGGTATTTGCATTCCTTTTGAGTTTTACTATACGCCTAAAGCACCCCTAAAGCACCCCTGTGCAGAATCCATAGATTTGATAACTGACTTCTATGCGACCTCTCCAACGACCCAGCCTCCTTCTGTCCCTAATCCGCTCAGCTTTGTTCTCCGGTGTACCATTACACTATGGTGATCCTTCAGTTTTTTTTTCCTCGATGTTTTTTTTTTCTTATGAATATAAAGTCTGAACCATTACAGTTTATATTCCCCAGTCTTTGCTCTGTGGACCCCCTTTACTTGTTTTCCTTTTAGAAACTGTTTAGACTTAATGTTCAGAAGGAAAAAAAAAATGAAAATCTGAAAAAGAAAAGAAAGGAAATAAAATAGAAAAGAACAATGAAACTGAAGGAGGATATCTATCATCATTTGTGCATGGATCATGTTAGTTTTCAATTTTGTAGACTTTATATACTTTAATAAAGAAAGGAAAGAAAAAAAGAAAAATAAAAATCGGCAATAGGATAGTATGATTGTGAATGGATTTTTAATTGTTTTTCTGTTTTTGAAATTTTATATGTATGTGTGCATATATATATATATATATATTATTAATTATTTAATATATTTAAAAAATATTAGCATAGTGGTTATCCTGCTATCCATACTCTGCTAGCTGGGAATGGAAACTATGATTAGGTTATTGGATTGATCCAAATCCTTGGTCCAATAAACATTTAGGGATTGATGGTGGTGGTATCTTCCACCAGATAGTGGAGTGGAGTGGTCTACGCCAAAATCATTGTTGTCATTCCCAAATTGTGGTATTGTCCAAAATATCGGAAGGAAAAAATAGAGAATTCAGAAGTGTTCTTTCTTTTCTCTCCTTTATTTTTCAGGTTTCTTTTTCATGGGTCTGTAATTCAATTTTGCAATATTTCCAGTGTATCTTTCGGAAGCCAAAAGAGTGCAAGGAGCGTCACAAAATTTTGATGGATAGAAGTGCTGGGGACGGTGCAGATAGTGCTGAAGACTCAGGATCTTCTCAGTCTTATCCATCTACACTGCCTGGGATTCCACAGGCATGGATACTTCTATTATTTATTTCATGCTATGCCTTAACATATTAGTGGTTCCTCATTGTTGGAAAAGTTTTCAACTTTGGTTGGTTATTTTCTATCTTTAGCAGGGCAGTGCCAGGCAGTTGTTTCAGCGTTTGCAAGGACCAATGGAGGAGGATACTCTGAAGTCTCATTTTGATAAAATTATCAAGATTGGGCAGAAGCAACGTTTCAATAGGAATCAGGTTTTAAGCAAAAGCTTTTATGTTAGGTGGTTTCTAATGTGCAAGACATTTGAAGATGGTATTTATTATACATCAATAACATTTATGACCAATTAAATCAGAGGATTAGTGGTTAATTCAATCAACATTGATGAACTTAATTGATTACAGTAGAATTTTTGTGAGTCAACTTCAATTGAACACTGGTTGCAGTTTAATGAAAGTGACATTCAGATCTAGTTTTATTACAGCTTATGATTTGAAAACTAGACTGGACTGGTTGGTTCAGCTGGAAATCTGGTCATGCATCCAGTCCAATTAGACCAGCAAACCTTCCTGTGAATCAACTGGTTTAAACCACAATAAATTTATATAGTCTTCTCACTATTTTTCAATTATGAGTTTATATCGTGGTGTTTTCTTTTTAAAATTTAGATTCAAACTAAGATGACTTAAGATTCAAACTGAGAGAGAATATATTTTTAGAGGGCTTAAATGACCGCTCTCACAATCTTTTACTTTATAATGTAAAAATTGATACAAGAATACATGGAAGATTAAGGGAACTACCCTAGACACCTAGGTGCAAAACTAGGTACGATTGTAGGTACAATTGATAGATGTATCCAACACTCCACCCTTTATGCTTAGACTTAATGATAATACATAGATGTAACACTCTCGTGAAGCATACAAATTATATGTACCATGCTTGGAGCAAAAGCTCAATCTTAATTCTCCCTAAGGACTTGGTAAGCATATTTTGGAAGTTGGTCATTTGATCCAACAAACTCAATACAAATTTCCTTGGACAACAGTTTTTCCCGAACAAAATGGTAGTAAATTTCTATGTGTTTAGTCCTCTCATGAAACAATGTATTTAATTTAATGTGGAGAGTGTAGTTTGGTTGTCACAATACATCTTCATGGTCTGAATTTCATAGTAATTAAGCTCTTGAAGAAATTGTTTTACCCTTGAGTTTACAAGTAAGAGACGCCATTGCCCAATATTCAACTTTAGTAGTTGATCGGGCCACTACATTTTTGCTTCTTACTTTTCCATGAGATAATATATTCTCCAAGGAAGACACAATATCCCGCATTAGAATGTATGTCAATAGGGGAGCCTCCCCATTAGCATCATAGTACCCCCGAGACTTGAACATTTCCTTTATCTTCATATATCAAACCTTGTCTTGGAGCCTTCTTGAGGTACCTTAAAATACGAATGATGGCTTTCCAATGGCCAATACATGGAGCTTGCATAAACTGACTAACCACTCCAACTGTAAAAGATAGATCAAGCCTCGTAATAGTAAGATAAATTAACTTTCCAACTTGCCGCCTACATCTTCATGGACTAGGGAATGATTCACCTTCTTCCGTCATTAGTTTTTGATCCCGGTCCATAGGACTATCTATTAGCTTATAATCAAGCATACCTCTCTCTTGTTAGATGTCAAGAGTGTACTTCCTTTGAGAGATTACAACCCCATTTTTTGATTGAGCTACCTCAATACCCAAACAATATTTGAGACTTCCAAGATCCTTGGTTTGAAAATGTTTGCAAAAGTACTCCTTCAATCGAGAAATTCTAGCAACATCATTTCTTGTAATGACTATATCATCAATATAGACTATAGGTAAATACATTTCCCAATAGGTGTATTATAATAAACTAAATGATTTGCTTCCTTGAATTTTAGCCCAAAAGTTTGAACAACTAAGATGATTTTACCAAACCAAGCACGTGGAGATTGCTTGAGGCCATAGAGAGAGCAACACAACTTACGAACCTTACCAAATTCCTTTGCAAGATCGCTATGTAGAAAGGCATTTTCAATATTCAATTGATGGAGTGGCCAATGACGAATTGCTGCCATGGCAAAGAAGAGACGAATAGTAGTCATCTTGGCCACTAGAGAGAAAGTATCACTATAATCTCGACCATAAACTTGAGTGTACCCTTTTGCAACTAATCGAGCCTTGAGACGATCGACTTCACCATTAGGACCAACTTTAATGGTATAAAGATGATGACATCCAGCAACATATTTCCTAGGTAGAAGGGAAACTAACTCTGAAGTATTACTCTGGTCAAGAGCCTACACTTCTGCAATCATGGCTTGTCACTCTTTAGGGTAGTAATAGAAGACACTGAGGATAGAAAATAACAATAGGAAAGTGACAATCGGTGATAACTAAGAATACTAAAAGTAGGTTATGGGTTTCGAGTGGAATAATTACCTTTCTAAGAGCAATGGATCAACCTAAATCATCTTCACCAAGAGTCGTGGTATTGAGTAACGAGGGAGAAGAATTTGAAGTAGAGGATTGACCTTGTTCTTGAATAACTAGACCATCCATTGAGGTCCTGTGTTGAAGGAAATCAATAGGTGGTGAGGATTGTCCAGGAGGACTCTAATAAAGACTAGAATTGGTTGAAACACCTAGAAATTCAAGACTTTAACCATTGGTATAGGAATAACTTGCTATATGACAAGGACATCTTGAACAAACGGAGAGAAATAAGGAGTTTGTTCAAAGAATGTAACATTGGCAGACATATAGTACTTCTTGGTTTAGGAGAGTATCATCAATACCATTTTTGAAGTCGAGAATAACCCAAGAAGATGCACTTGATTGCACGAGCGGACTGGTTGTCCAACCCTGGAGACATGTCATGAACAAAGCAAATACAACCAAACACACGAGGAAAAATGTGAAAGAGATGATCATTTGGAAAATAATTGTAAAAGGAACCTTATTATTTAGAGAGGAGGATGACATCCTCTTAATAAGAAAACATGCAGTTTGGATGACATCTCCCCAATGAGGGACAGGATATTTGCACCAAGCGATAGGGTATGAGTAGTCTCAACTAAGTGTCTATTTTTTCTTTATGCGGTACGAGATAGTAGAGAAGTTGGATGTAATATGCTATGTGAACTCAAGATAGTAGAGAAGTTGGATGAGAAATACTCTTTGACATTATCACTTCTAATTTTGATTACTTGACCGAATTGATTCTTGATTTTACTCAAGATGTGAAGATGGACAACAATTTAGTAGAGTCTTTCATAAGATAATAGATGTTTCCTCCTCAATAATATTTATCACTAAATGTAACAAAATACTTAAAACAAAAAGAAGAGACTCGACTAGATCCTCATATATCATAATCAATAATAGAAAAACTAGAATTACATCTTAATTCAAAACTAGGTACGATTGTAGGTACAACTAATAGATGTTTCCAACATTTTACACCCTATGCTTAGACTTAATGATAATAAATAGATGTAATTATTCTAACAAGATGTTCTGTTTCTTTGATAATATTTGTATCTATTTTCAATTTTTTTTAACATAGGTTCAACAATGATTCAATGACAGTTGGACATTGATTATTGAACAATTGTCTTGATTGGTTCTATTACCTGTTCAGTTGTAAAACCATTATTAACATTCTTGTCAAGAACTTGTTCTGTGATTTTAGAAATCTGTGCTTGCATAATCTACCTTTACATTTGACCATTCAAATTTTTTATAATTTCATGCTTTGTTATTGTTGGTAGCCAAGAACAGAAAAAAAGAGAGAAATCTCTCGGCCTATACTTTACTGGATTTCTCCTTTTACAAAGAACTATTTGTCAACTTACAAATGATAACAGATTTGAATGCATTCCCTCTCATATGCTCCAATTTGTTCATTAGTTACTACAACAAACTAATATTCTAACTATCCCTTGTTGGTCTTCCTCACAATGCTAAGAATACTCTGTGCATCCCAACAGTCAACTTTTCTTCTCAAGGTTGAATGGAGCCAAATGATAACAGATAAATTGCATGATACTTTTTCCCCAAACCTTACGTGTGCAGTATTGCATGATTGCATTTTCATCCCAAGACACATCTTCTGTCGAAAGATTGTCACTAAAAGTCAACTGAAAACCACTGCTGTTACCCTGTTATTTTTCCCTCATCTGAGTTCAGTGTCGGGCCAAATTTGCTCATGATTGGGCTCAATGCAGCTTCAAATAAAATTGTGCCGGGTAAAGTTGTTACACTTGATTCTGAGTGTTGTTTGAGGTCCACTGCTCGAGTTACAAATAAATCCAATTCAGGCTTTTGGGGGTTTCTGATTTGAGACTCAAGACCAAGTCTTCCTACTTATTTATTACTTTCTCAAACAAACTAATATCCAGCTATCCTAATTAACTTCCCCTTCCTGCTGTTGTAAGGTTAACCTTTTGAGAATTGGCCTTTGCCATATCTAATGATTTATTTCCTGGATGATTCCAAAATTGCAGTTATTTCTGAGGATGTTGGACATTTAATTGTAACTGTCATTTTTTTAATCATAAACTTTTTGTTAACCATTTTATTTCCTGTCCCCTTCCCTTCTTTCAATTTCTGACTACTAATTTGAAATGCCTTTTGTTTGTATGTAGAATGATAACCAACCATTAGTACCCGTCCATAATTCGCATGTGTTTGCTCTTTCCCAAATCTGTCCGAACAACTTGAATGGGAGTATTTTGACGTAAGTTGTGTTTGTTTTGTGGGGGTGGGGGTGTACTTTGAAGTTTGAAATTTTGAATATTATTAAATTACTGTTTATTCTCATTTAGCACAGCATGTCTTGTCTACTAATTTTCACATTCGGGCTGTACATTGTTTTTTCTAGCACAACTGCTCTAGTATTTTAATCATATTTGATTTCTGGTAAAGGCCACTTGATCTTTGTGATTCAAATCAAACAAGCCCAGATGGTCTGTCCCTTGGTTATCAAGGATCTCATACTGGTGGTTTACCAATGTCAAATCATAGTTCTGTTCCTCCTGTGCATCCTTCAGCTGGGTTGAATTCATCTATTCCATCATCTTCTGGTGTGAATCTTGGCAGTAACTTATCATCTTCTGGTCCATTGGGGGCCTCTGCCAGGTTAGAATATTTTATAACTAGAGTTTCTTGCTGTCCAATTATTAAATGTTGGAATATTCGTTATTAGTTATTCAATGTTTGGGAATCACGTGTTTTTAGGGATAGTAGATTCGGAGTTTCACGAACTCCACCTTTATCAGTTGATGAACAGCAGAGAATGCAACAATATAATCAGATGTTGTCTAGTAGAAGCATGCAGCAATCTACCATTTCCGTGCCTGGGTCTCTTTCAGGAAGTGATCGAGGTGGTGGGAGAATATTGCCTGGCAGTAATGGTATGGGCATGGTGAGTGGGATCAACAGAAGCATGACAATGACTAGGCCAGGGTTTCCAGGAATTCCATCATCATCTATGCTTAGTTCTGGGGGCATGCTTTCTTCTAGTATGGTGGGGATGCCAAGCCCTGTAAATATTCACTCTGGAGTTGGTGCTGGACAAAGCAACTCAATGCTGAGACCACGGGAGACTGTACACATGATGAGGGTGAGAAGTGTTCATATTCTGTCTTAGAATTTAATTTGGGTTCTATGGATAACAGTTAACATTTAGAAGTTGGAATTTCTTGTGGCATTATCCATCCAACTAGTATACTAGCTTTTTAACGTTGTTTCTAATAGCTTCTATTGACTTGGTAATTTTCAGCAAGTTGGTTCTATTTTGAATGATTTCGCCTTGTGCATCAGTCAACATTGTTTTTGTGATCCTATTTTATTCTGACTAATAATATTTCTTCCGATTTTCTTTAGCCTGGCCATAATCAAGAACACCAAAGACAAGCCATGGTTCCAGAACTTCCTACGATGCAGGTTACACAAGGAAACAGTCAAGGCATTCCTGCTTTTAGTGGGATGAGTTCTGCCTTTAATAATCAGACAACTCTACCATCAGTTCAGTCTTATGCAGGGCATGCCCAGCAGTCACATCAATTATCTCAGCAACAGTCCCATCTCAGCAATCCCCGTCCCCTTCAAGGTTCAAATCATGCTACTAATCCACAACAGGCCTACGCCATCCGATTGGCAAAGGAAAGACACTTGCAGCAACATCAGCGATATCTGCAGCACCAACAGCAGCAGCTTGCTGCGTCGAGTGCCTTGATTCAACATGGTCAGACGCAGTCCCAACTTCCTATACCATCCCCTGTGCAAAATAATTCCCAGGCACAACCTCAAAATTCATCGCAGCAAGTATCTCTTTCGCCTGTAACACCAACATCCCCTTTGACTCCCATTTCTTCTCAGCAACAACAGCAGAAACATCACCTACCACATGGTTTCAGCAGGAATCCTGGTGCTAGTGCATTGACTAACCAAGCAGCAAAACAACGGCAGCGGCAACCACAGCAACGGCAGTATCCACAGCCAGGTCGGCAGCATCCTAATCAGCCACAGCATGCTCAGGCTCAACAGCAGGCAAAACTTCTGAAAGGACTAGGAAGGGGAAACATGGTGGTCCATCAGAACAACTCTGTTGATTCTTCTCATCTAAATGGGTTATCTGTACCTCCAGGAAGCCAAACTGTTGAGAAAGGGGACCAAATCATGTCCATGATGCAAGGTCAAAACTTATATCCTGGATCTGGTAATCCAAATCAACCACCCAAGCCAGTAGTTCCTTCTCATTCTTCAAATCATTCCCAGTTGCAGCAAAAGCTACATTCTGGACCAACAAACACTTCTTTGAAACAACTTCAGCCAGTGGTATCTCCATCTGATAATAGCATTCCAGGAAATGTTTTATCAGTTACTGCTGGCCATATGGCATCATCTCCACAGACAGCTGTTGCTTCTAACCATCATCAACTGCCACTGCAATCCCAGCCACAGTGTAAGCAAAGTAACCAAACTCAATCAAATGTTCAAAGAATCTTACAACAAAACTGTCAGGTGCATTCTGAGTTGTCAAACTTGTCTCAATCTGATTCACCTAAAGTTGATCAACATCCTGCAAACAGTGCTTCCCAAGTTGGTACAAACACTGCAATGTCTCCAGGTTGTATGGATGCAGCTAATGTAACTGTTCCTGCTGCATCTTCTCAGTGGAAAACGTCAGAATCACCATTTGATTCCAGTGTGGCCAATCCAGTTACTCAAGTGAGCTCTCTAGGCAGTACAACACATGTTGGAAATGAGAAACCGACTATTAATCAAGGGATGGGACCACAACAATTACCAACTAGCGTACCTTCTCATACACATAATTCTGGAGGGCAGTGGCAGCAGCAGGCAATGACTCTCCAACAACAAACTTTACCACAGCCTATCCCAACTCAACAGTCATATCAGTCTCCAGAACATCAGCAGCAACAGGAGCAGGAGCAGCATTCTCCAAAAGATGTAGCTTTGCAACATCAACCTCAGCAACAAGTGAAACATATGCAACAGGGACAGAGCAGTTTGCTTATCCGGCCACCCAATTCTAAGGTGGAATGATGATGTCTAACTGATGGAGCAGCTGAGTGTGCTTGGTTCTGTCTGGATTGGAGTCTTATACCCTTTTACTACCGTTGTACAGGTACAGGTATTTTTATGTTCTATGCCCTTGTGTTATGAAAATTTAGTGACTACTGAAATACATATTTTACTGAATCCTGTTTGTGGAGGATGGCCTAAAATTGATAACTTTTCATGGTAGGAATATGTAAAATTGTAGCTTGAAAATTTATTTATTGAAAGTTTGTGAAGAGTTTTCCCTCATGGTAATCTTGGTATATGATTATCCACTTGGACAACAGTGACATTGTGACAGAAACCTGGAATTTTAAAAATAGGAGATATATCCCCTGAATATAGCTACAAACTTGAATGCATTTATAGGGTTTGCACCTCCCTACTTCAGAGACTGCAATCCAACTTAGTAATTGTTACTAATTGATGGAGTTGTCAACACATTATTCTCAATAATACATATATAATTTATATATATTTTATTATAAAAGATCTGCACCTCATAGACTTGAACATTTTGGCCAATTGTTCAGTAGAGTTGACAAAATCTGGTAATGTCTCCAGATTTCAACTTTTCTCTCATGAAATGATAATCTATCTCATTTTGTTTGGTCTTCTCATGAAAGACATTATCGAAGGCAATGTGTAATGCTGCTTGGTTGTCACATGTAAGGTGCAGTTGGGAATTTTCTTCAAATTTAATCCCTTAGAGGAGTTGCTATAGCCAATTGAGCTCACAAGTGACTACGGTCATTAACTTGTATTTTGCTTTTGCATTTGGTCTTGGTACTGTTCTGCAATATTAAATTACATCCAACAACGAAACAACAACCTATCGTGGAGAACCTATCACTCTGGTGACCTTCCCAATTAGCGATGGAATACCCAACAAAGGTTTTTCTTTTCTTTTTTAATAAGGCCTTTTCTAGGAGCATTCTTAATATACTTTAGGATTTGTACTGCTATTTCACAAGGATCTTGACTAGGAGGGTTACAAAATTGACTTTCTATGCTCAATTGTCTAACTCTTTGGCCTCTTCTGTCTTCCTTTCTGACCTCATTTCGTTGTTTTGATGTACTTTGGTGTTGGGGCACATTCTCCCTTTCAAGGTCTTAGGGTTCCTCTTCTCTCTTCTCAAGTTTGGTTGTTGTTCTTCATCTTTGAGATGGCTTCAATAGGCTCTGCTCCTATTATTTCTGCTACTGCTACCATTACAAGTGCAAGATTCAATTAGAAAAATTATTGGCCTTGGTTTGCCTATGTGGAGTTGTGGTTTCTTGGTCAAGGATATCACAACCATTTAGAATCTAAAGTCAGCTCTATTCTTGGTGCGATTATGATGTTGTCATTTTAGGGGATGGTCCCTTTTATGTGTGACATTGTTAACTATATCCAGCTATGTATTTAATGACAATGGAATTTTTTAAATGCAAATAATAATTCTTTTTGATGTTGGAATGGTAAAACTAAATCAATGTCGGTACTGAAGTAGAGCTTTATCCGAGGTATTAATCTCTTAGGGCTGCGACCCAAGAAAATGAAAAGGGAGACCACCCATTTCCTGAGGAAGAGCCAGCTTGTTCGCTCAGGGTAGCCAATATTGATACGAATTCCCCCTCCTTCAATCACATTCACGTATTCCACTCCTCACATCTGCCTTTCACTTCCCTGCCACTACCATACCCATACATACTTGGCCCCTCGAATGACTTTTACATGTAAATAGTATTTCGTTTGACTTACATTTATGCTTAACGTGGTGATTGTGTCTCCTTTAGAATTCTTCACTAATGAATATGTACTCTTTTGTTATATGTATTGCTTAATATCGGATTCCTATTAATTATGCATTCTTTTTTCCCTTGTGTGGATCTGACCTTCTATTTTATTTTTCTGGTGCATATTTATCTATATTTCTCATGGCAGTATGCAAAGAAGACTTCAATTTTGTTTGGTTTGTCTGCAGATGATGCTGGTCATACATGAGGGCTTTGGAATATGGAGATAGATATCCATTGTTTTCAGTAGGTCCTGTTACAAATTAGGAAAAATTGTATTGGTAGGCATCATTGCTTACTTATTCATTTCACAGGTCTTGTATATTACCGCTGTTTTTAGAGGGTATTTTTACTATTTTCTTAGGAAAGAGACGAATATAGAGGTATGTGTACAGCGTCGTCTCTTCCTTGTAACCCCCTCCCTACTTTTCGTTTTTTTTTTGTCTTGTTTTCTCCGCCCTTGTGCAGAGGAACTCGTTATTTTTGTTCTAGATTAGTGAATGTATTATTAGCCTGTTAGATAATTGGGATAGGAATCATTTTTATGAGTAAAAGCCAATTCAAAGTTTTGTGAATATCTGCTATTGGTGTATGCAAATATTTTGATATTACAAGTTTGTAACCAATTTTTTAGTTTCTGAAATTGGGCAAAAAACTGTTTGAGGAAGAACTTGATTATATGTTATTTTTGCATATATGTATTATTTGTTTGATGTACAACAAGCAACTTTTAGAATTTGATTCAATTCGTAGATGATTACTTAATTCCTTGTTGTAAAAGATCGTAAACTTTGATATTTATGTCTTATTTAAATTAATATTATTTCTACTGATTATTTTATTCAGTGTACTGGTATTGAGTTTGACGGTGACCAATCCTTGCCAAATTATGTTTATGTTTTTAGAAGTTTGTGTTGTATATCAAGTGTCAAATTGAGCCAATGATCATTGAAAACAAATTCAGAAAAGTGAATTGTGAATCACGCCCAATGAAAATTAGACAAATAATGAAACCTACTTGCATATTATACAAAATAGGCATTATGTTGCATTTAATGTCTTTTCTTTTTAGTTGTATAAGTCACTCTTACAAAGGGACACAATAATAACTAGTTAGAAGTGAAAAATAAAATCCTAACTATCAATGTATACAATTGATTATTAACACATCTGACTTTGGTCATTAGACTGTTTACTTACTATATCTCGTTATCAACTCACTAGATGTCTATAATCAAACTATTTATTCTAGATATATCTCAGTATAGTAAAATCTACAAAACTTCAAATTAGATTTCAATCTCTTTATTTTTGAAGTTGCTACTAAAAGTTCACATTCAGCAAGCAATAATCCATGAACTTGTTTATTAGAATTGGTTTCATGAAAGACATCTATTTGATTACATTGCTTGAGAACCCTCTAAGAGTATATTGCAAACCAATCTTGAAGATAACTCTAATATCCGTAGTTTTTCTTATGTATCTTATTATCTGTTTTATAATTTGTTAATGCTCCTTCTCAAGGTTGTTCAAATATTTACTAACTAGACTAATTGTTTAGGCAAGGTTTGGTTGAATGTATATCATCATATACATCAGACTCCTCAAGGTTGAAATATGTATCAATTCTCCTCGTCAATGAGTAAAGTTGAGCTCAAAAAGACAGACACTCTTAAAAGCATGATCATGACTTTAGCATGTTTTATCCCAAAATATCCTAGAACCTGTTGGATGTATTATCTCTAACACTCTTTATTGATCTTTATCCAATCTTCTAAGATGCACTCTTATCTATCACTTAAATTCATTACAGAAGACATTGCAAGATCCAATTCTACCTTGTAGAGAAACAACATTCAAGTTTTGAAAATGTTGAAGTTGAAGAATATATCAACAACATATCTTTAATTTTGTTTTATGTGAGAATGTTTCTTGTTATTCTTGAGATTAAGAGGGTGTAGTGTGTGCTCGTTGTAATAATTTGATTGATTAATAAAATCTCTTAGACTATGTTATTAAGGAAAAATTGGACGTAACTTATGAATTTGATGAATCAATATAAAATCTTCCATCTTGATCTTTTGTGAACTAAATAGTCTAGTTAGAACTATACGAAAAAGTTTAAAGCTCCATTCGGCACCCACTCTCCTTCTTGAGCCAGTTTTATCACCTTTTTGATATCAGGTTCAATCTTATCTATAAAGTGATAACTAGGACACCGAAACACCTTCAACATTGAGTAGCCAACATATTCTTCTTACTACATCTCAATTGAAGTCTTGAAATGAATGGTTGTGAACAGAGAATGTAACACTTCGACTATTATTTAAGTAATTGTTATTTAATTAGATATGAGTAATTTTTATTAAATTAATAAAGTTTCTACATGAAAATATAAAACTATTTATATATTTAATATCTGTGGAGAATATTAAAACTAAGTTATTCATCAATCAATATCTAAGGGAAGATCTTTTGAATTTTTTTAGAACAATTCTTAATGAACAAGTTGTTAGAATAATAAGGGAGGTTGAACAAAAACAAGGGGGAAGGGGGTTGAATAGGTATGGAATTAAATATTTCATTTTTAAAGCTTTTTAGTTATTCAAAACTTACTTTAAATAAACCTTAAGTTTATATTAAGGTGTAAGAGCAAATATGAGAGTATTAAACCCTTAAAAAGGATGTAAAACTTTAATTTTGCAAACAAAAATTTTATATTGACAATAACGTCCCACATCCGGTGGTTAATCACCTCAAAGAGAGTGATTACAAATTATTATCTTGAACTGATAAAGGAAAAAAAAAACTCCTTTTTAGAACCCACAAGAGGTGAAATAAACCTTCTTGTATAAACCACAACAAAAGATAAATATCTTTCTTGAAAACACAGGAGATGAAGAACATTTCCCTTAATAAACCTTAAGGGATAAACCAAGCTTCAAACGTTAGTAACAGCGACACATTATTTCATAAGAGCACTCTTGGAAAAACTTAAAAGTCACTCTTTTTAAAAGTAGGTTAAACCAAAGCTTACTACAAAACTATTTCACACTTTAACTTTTGTTTTTGAAACCAAAGAGCTCTACTCAATATATAGAGAAAAAAAAATCATGTTTTGAGGCAATTAAAAAATCCCATTTTAAAAAATGATTAGAATAATTCATAAATATTTATGATAATCGATTAGTCGAAGATAATTTGAAAGGAAATTTCTGTTGGGATAATCAATTATTTTAGAGATAATCAATTATCTCATTCCATAAAAGTTTTTTTAATCGATCATTAAAAGTGATAATTGATTATCACGAAAAAATATTTTCTACTTTGGAGAATGTTTTATCAAGATTATTAAGAAGAGTACAAATCTCTACATGCTTGTTATCTTTAAGATTAAATCTCTTAAGAGGTAGATTTAGAATATCATCCATCCTTTTGTAAATATTATCTTTTAGAGAAGGGGATAGTGCTTAAGAAGTGCAAAAGCAACAATACGTATGTCTTGATTTATGTCTTCATCTTCTTGGGGTACTTCACCCTTGGAAAGAAATTTCCAAAATTCATAATAATCAATTACTTGTGAGATAACTGATTAATCGATTATTACAGTAAACCTCTAAGCTAATAATCAATTATAATAATCGATTATTATAGAGTGAAATTACATATACACAAAATTAATTATTTAAGCTTATATCCATTTAGAGAATCATCATTTATAATGTCTAAATCTCTTCTAAGACCAAAGAATCTATCTCTTACCAAAGGTTTTGTGAAGATATTAGCTAATGAGTGCTTAATATTTATGTACTATATAATATAATCTCTTTTGATAATATGATCTCTAATGAAATGATGTCTTATTTCTCTGTGTTTGGTCCTAGCACTAGTGCAAAAACAACGTATAACGTCACACGTTCAACGTCGAACAACTCAATAACCAACGTTAAAAGTGACCGGTGGCATTTTTGTAAATAAATGCAATTATTAAACGTCGTTTAGAAATGTAATTCGACGTAAAATGATGTAAAACGTCGAATACCCCAGCGTTAGACGTTAAAAGGTTAGTGATTTCAATAAAAATTTGAGCGGGAAATTGAAAATTCATTCATTTTATCTTAGCGCATGAGACCCTTTTATCTACTCAAACTTTTCTCGAACGAAGTTTGACGACCATCACATGTAATCTTTCTTTCATTTGATACAAATGCATGTTAATTTACTACTTTAGGTATGATTTTCGTTTGTTTTGACCGATTATTTTCGTGTTCTTGTCCTTCATAGGCGCATTCTGTTTTCTCTCTCACTTGTGGCAACACTTTATTTCGATGAACCAAGGTTAGTTTTCGTTTTCGTTTTGAAAAACTTATTTGTTGAACTTGTTTGTTGTTATTTTTTGTTCAACTTGTTTGTTGTTGTTTGGTTGAACTTGTTTGTTGTTGTTTGAGTGAACTTGTTTGTTGTTGTTTGAGTGAACTTGTTTGTTGTTTGTCATTGTTGTTTGTTGTTGATATTATATTACACGTTCATAGTTCATGCTTTACAAAATACTAAAAACTGAATTTTGTTGTTTTTTTGCTTTTTAGGTATCGTAGAGATGTAAAAAAGGACACAATTAATTAAAAAAATTGATTAACGTCATTTATTGATAGAATTCGAAGTTAAATTTAACGTCGAATTTTTTAAATTCGACGTCAATTTAACGTCTCCCGATATGACGTCGTTCTCGAATTCGACGTGAAAGACCCAAAATATTCGACGTTGTACGCTATTTTTGTACTAGTGTAGAGTGCATGATGAGATTTCTAGTAAGGTCCATGGCATTTGTCCTATCACCCTTCAATGGTATATGATCTAAGAAAATGTTGAAATCCTTTAACTGTTGTGTCATCTATAAAATTTGAACACAAAAATTCCAACTACAATATAAACAACTTTTGTGGTTGAAAGGGCTACATAAGCTTGCTTCTTAGATTATACTTGCTTCTATCAATTTTACACCCTCAATAGTCGAATCAGAATATCCAATTAAAGTAGGTGATGCTCTAAAAGGATACCATAAGCCATAAGATTTTATTCCTCTAAGGCACTTTAGAATTATTTTTACAATCTTAAAGTGAGATTCTTTGAGATTTGATTGAAACCTAGAACAAATACATTCACTTTGCATAATATCTAGTTTACTTAGAGTAAGGTATAAAAGAGAATCAATTTCTTTAAAACTTCATTACAATATTTTGATTGAAAAATGAATATTCCATTATTTTCTTGTTTAATTTGCAATCTAAGAATGAAAGTTAACTCTCCCATCATTAACATTTCAAACTCCCCCCATATTAGGCTAGTAAATTATTGACAAAGAGCTTTATTAGTTGATCCAAAAATAATATCATCAACATATATTTGAACAATTAACATATGTTTATTAGTCTTTTTAATGAAAAGAGTATAATCAACTTTACCTCTTATAAAATGTCTATTAATTAATAAATTACTTAGCCTTTCATACCATGATCTTAGGGCTTGTTCGAGACCATATATGGCTTTATTTAATTTATAAACATGGTTATGATATTT